TCAAGTGTTATCACATTTAATAAACTTACTTGAATTGACTAAGTCATATGTTTATGTATTTCAGTAATGGCGTATTTATTTGAGTAGTATCCAAGCATATCTTAGCCCAGAGGTCTAAAATAGTAAATTTATGAATACGCTTCGTTGAGCATGAAATCAAAATTCTTAACAACTCATTAGTAGTGGGATATGCATGAAGAAAGCTATGATAAAAACTAAGGTTTATATTTTTTAATATTAATTTTAACACCCTTTTATTCTAACATTTTTGTGTTATTTTACTGCATTCTAATTTTAGTAAATTACTCTCAGCTAAATTTTTTATTGGATTTTATTTTGTTCTATTCTGCTGTACTGTATTTAAATTTTTTGGTTTATTATGATTTATTTAATATTATTTTATATTGGTTTATTTAATTTTCATTTAACTAATTTAATATCTTTTATTTTAAATCATTTTATTCTAATTTATTTCGTTATATTGTATTTATTTCTAATTATATTTTACTTTGTTTTGCTTCATTTTACTTTAATCAATTTCTTTACTTCATTTACATTATTTTATTTTATTTCGTTATATAGTGTTTCCTTTTTATTATAACTTATTGTATTTTATTTTATTTTATTTCATTTTATTATATTTGATTTTTTTATTATATTTTTATCAATTTATTTAAATTTTTTAATTTAATTTTTTTTAATTTAATTAGATTATATTTATATTGCTTATAATATTTTACTTTATTCAATTTTTAAATAATTATTTAATTTTATCTTATATTATTCATTTTTATTTTACAATAGTTTGTTTTATTTATTATGACGTATTTTTTTTTTATTTTTTTTTTTTAAGTTATCTTATCTTATTATTATTTTACTTTATCGTATTACAAATCATTTCATTTTTTTAAATCTTATTTTATAAGATTTTTTATTTTTTTTTCAACTTATTTTATTTTATTGTATTAAAATTGATTTTTTGGTTTTACTTTTTTTCTTATTTATTTAGTTAAACTACTTCTTTTTGTTTTAAGCTAATTATTTTATTTTATCTTACTTTATTAAATATTTAGTTTAATTGTTTTGGTTTATATTATTTTGTATTAATTTTTTATTATAAGCTATTTTATTTTCTTTGTAAATTAAATTGAATAACTTAATTATATTTTAATTTATCTCATTTTATTTTATTTCATTTAATTTTGTTTTATTTGATTTTTATTTATTTTACTTTATTTTAATTTATTTTATTTTATATCATTTGAATTTATTTTAATTTTTTTATTTCATGTTGTTTTGTTGTGTTTTATTTATTTCATATTAAATCATTTTATTTCATGTCATTTTTTCCTAAAATTTTATTTTTTAATTTTAATTAATTAATTAATTAAATAAATAATTAATTAATTAATTAAATTATTTTATTTTATATATATTTTTTTGTATTTTATGTTATTTTATTTTGTTGTAATATAATGTATTTTTTATTGTGCTTTATTTTACTTCATTTCCTTTTTTCCTTTCATTTAGTTATTTAATTTTTAGTTGCAATTTGTTTCCAAAATTACAAATAACTTAACTTGCTGCAAATATACCCACAGTCAAAATCAAAAAAAAAAAAAAATTTAATTGAAGCTTACTTAATTCGATAAACTACAAATTAACGCTTAATTAACTAAAAGAAAGAGGAGCGAAAAGATGTACGAAATTAGAAAGTGATTTCCAATGAAGCGGAAGCCAGTGGCAATCTCAATTAATCGCAAATGTTTTTAGAAAAACAAATATGGATTAACTTGCTCGCGCTCATAGTATATATGTGACTATGGCCATACGTAGTTGCACATAAAAGACGTCTCAACAAGAGTGACAGATGAATAAACAGACAGGTATTGTTGCATCTCTAGCTAATTTTGGTCATACCAAACCAAAAGCGGCAGACACGAGATAACGACTTTTGTAAACTCATTGTAGTATATGTTCGCAAGTAAATATTTAATTGTGTGTCGTGTGGGGAAAAGTCACTAGAAGATAAATTTACATATGTGCGAAGCGCGTACCAACTTATTTATTTCATTTTACTTATATTATTTTCTTCGACGGCACTTGGTACTCTTACCAATTGTCCAGTCATTGCTATTTTTGCCGTTCTTTTGTTGTTATTGTCGTTGTTAACATTTATTATTTATTTGATAATTTGTTTTTACCACAAAGGTTGAAGAGGCATTTAAACCGGTCAACAACAGCAGAGCGTTGGGAGTTTATGTATAAATGTATAAGTGTATGTATGTATGTACACCGGTGTGGCAAGAAAGCTTGCCGACTTCATTCCACCTTCACACAAATACTTATACATGTATATATATATATATATATATATATTAATATATATATAGCTTATGACTTATTCACTTTTTCCTTTTTACTTGCCATGTTTGTTTTGTGCGGCGCATGCGCACGATCCCTCACCGCACGGTGGTTTGCGGCAGTAGAAAGCTGCAATTTTTTTAATTTATTAAATCTCTTTACTTCTAATAAGCTTACAAGTACATGTCACAATTATAGAATTAGATATTAAAGGGTGTGCAATTCGGGTTTTTCTTTTGAGGTTACATCTGTATGGGAGACCTGGTCAAATAAACCTTTCACGACGAAATGGTAATTTTTATTATCATTTTAAAGATACGAACTCAATTTCAGAGATACAAAGCAATCGGGAATTCTTTGCTTTGCCATTGAGGTTAGGATTGTAAGATATTTTCATTTACTATTTAGTAACAAGGAAGTTATAGAGAAGGCAGTAGCTCGTGAATAATTCTCTGAAAAATGGCCGCTGCGATCTAAAAGGAACAGCGCATGTTTAAAGTAAAGTTTATGCTTACCAATTGCCACAATTTGTATGAAATATGGTGTTAAGAATTAAGTTTGCAAATACATAAATTTTTTTGATATTGCTTAATAATTTTGGTGGAAGAATTCACATTTCCTTTAAATTAAGCAATCGCATTTTTCATGAGATAGTAACTAATCTTGTGGTATGTGTATTTTCCATTTAGGCAAAAAAAATTTTTGTACAATCAGCTGTGAACTAAATGCACATAGTGCTGTCTGTCAGGGGTAAAAGTCGAATTTGCATTTATCCCACTTACTGCAACATAGCTCAATTTTCAAAGCGTTCTTGGAGTTTGGTTTGTATGGCAGAAAAGCAGTTCCTTAAAGTTTTATTTCATAAAAATATGAGGTTGGACAACACCCGTTTCATTGGTTTGGTGGCTCTGTGAATATGATTTTATTCTCTCATTCTCCCTCATGGTTAATGTGCCAGTTCGCCTTTTGTTTTTCTTTAAGATTTGGTTAAGGGCTTAACAACTTCAGCTGCAACTCTTCACCTCGGCTTGATCACTGTACCAGTTTTTCACAGCGATCTTTTGGTGCTTTCCTAAAAAAAAAAGAATAGCGAGAGTAAATAAGATCGAAACCCGCGTATTCCATTTTTCTTCATCTCGTAGACAAAAGCTGGCATGATGCATGACCTCATTATTTTTTCATTTCATTTCTCACACGCCATACTTGTACATACATATTTATTTTTTTTATATATTGTAACAGATTTCGATAATTTAAGAAAGGAAATCCATCTTGGCACTAATCTTCTTCCAAATACTTTAAAGAATCTCAATTATTTAACAGCAATTTATTAATTAAATTTTTTTGCGCCAGTTTTTACTGATTTAACTGTTCACACTTAAATCTATTAAGCAAACAAATTGTAAATTTTGAAACACCTTCAATTATGAAGTTCATTGCCTCAACCCACGCCACTTATGTATCCATGACCAATACCAACACAAAAGCCACATCCAAAGCAGTTAATTTTACAGAAATCTTTCCTCTTGAAAAGCTAAACGGAACCAAGGTGGCTGTTACAGTTATACTTTGGCCGGCTGCCGTAATGACACGATTTCCACGCCACTTCCGCTATGTTCACATGTAAAGCAAAAAGGTTGGCGGTAGCAAAGCGGAAAGTCCGGAGTAGAACGAAATTTGATAAAAGCAACGCAAAAAATATAGTTCAAACATTTTCTAGTCAAACTGAAACTGTGAACAAGGTTGTGGGAAGTTTTGTGTCAAATTAGCATAATTCACACAACTAAGCAAAGTGTTTGAACTGCTGTTGCTGTTTTAGTATGCCACCAAGTAAACTGCTGTTATTTCAGGTGGTGTAAATGGCGTGGTGGGAATGAGGGTGCCCCTTGATGGAATAAAAAGAATGACAAGAAGGTGGCCTTACTTCACATAACCTCACTATCATACAGATGACAGCAAATTCCTTTAAACTTTTATACAGTATTTTTTTCGACAGTCTTGGGGAATTTAGTAATACCTGGCCCAGTCAAAGTGCCGAAGCGAATTTGGGCCGATCTACTCCTCCGCTTTGTGGTATGTGTTTTGATGATCAGTTTATACTACGCCGGCTCCAAACGGCTGGTGAATTCTTATTTCATGTTAGAAATACAATGACATTTCCGAAATAGTTTTTAAAATTGAATAAAGCATCGTCAATACTGACCTCGGACACAAATAAAAACTCTCATCAGGTTTGAGTTTTTTAGATGATTTCCAAAAAACTTTTTTACTTACTATCATAGCAGGCTGACTAGCTTCAATCTGTTGAAATATTACAAGTTTTTACTTTGAAAATTGGATTAAATATCTGAATCCAATTCTCTGGACACCACTGTATATTTTATTCACTCCAAAACTATGCAGTAACATTTCAGGGAATAAAAAATATTTTCACAAGAAAAAGAATAAAGCAGAACTATAATTTACATCAACATGAAAACTTTTCTGCTCCATACATATTTCTCAACTCTGCGAATGTGCATGTGCAAACGAGAATTTTATCTGAAGACCAATCTAAACTTGATGTCCCAATTCTCATGTACATCACTAATTGTTTGTATGCTTATTTCTTCCCTTCTTTTTCTTCTATTGTTTAGGCATCGACCCGGAGGGCAGTCGCTTGAAGTACAGCATATCTGGGCCAGTGTTCTCAGTTGACCGCGAAACAGGTGTTGTACGCCTGCGACAAGAACTCGATCGCGAAACACAAGATACCATTGAAGTTATCATTAGTATCACCGATGAGGGCATCTATGGTACCGAGCCGAACACGATCTCGTTGCGACGCGAAATACCAGTACGCGATTACAATGACAACCATCCGACCTTTATTGGTCGCCCATATTCGGCAAGTGTTAGTGAATCGTTGGCGGTGGGCGATGAGTTGGAAATCAAGCCACGTATAATCGCGATCGACCGTGATGAGGGCATCAATGCAGAGTTGACCATCAAATGTGTACAGGTAAGTTGTGGAGCTGCCATTGGGAACGCACTGATTACAAAAGCAAATAGGAAATGTTGAGCTACTTCTGTACTAATACAGTTTATTTGCCTCTCTCGCCGACCGACAGGAAAACGATATTTGCGATACTTTCGATGTGCGTGCGGAACGCGTAGATGATGGTAATTATACGGCGCACGTTACACTAAAGAAACCGCTGGATTACGAGAGCCGTCCGTCGTACATAATGACGGTTGCCGCATCGGATGGCGCGTTGGAAAGTCGTCTGACCTCATTTGCCAGTGTCTCGATCAACGTGATCGATGTGCAAGATCAGCCGCCGATCTTCACAAATGCGCCATACTCCGCCACAGTTGCGGAAAACTCGCCAGCCGGTGTGAACGTTTTAACCATAAAAGCGGTGGATGGCGATGTTGGTATACCTCGTGACATAAACCTCTCACTGGATGACGAGGTTTTCGGCCACTTTGTATTGGTGCCCTTTGGAAAACCAAAGGATGGCACAGCAATATTGGAAACCACCAATGTGCCTCTGGACCGTGAGAACCCGGAAATATTACAAAACGGCGGTGTATACGTATTCACGGTACGTGCTACTGAGCTCGTTGATGGCCAACCACAAGAAGATTACTCGACGACACGCGTTGCGATCGTAGTCACCGATGTAGATGATCACGTTCCAGAGTTCAATGAAAACTTCTTTAATATTTCCATACCAGAGAATTTAGGAAAAAGCATGGCTTTACCTGGGCTGTCGGTGTTTGTGGATGATCGTGATATGGGTGAGAATAGCCGTTACGAGTTGGCGCTGCGCGATATCAAGAACTCAAAGGGCATATTCAGCGTTAGTCCTAAGATGGCGCAAGGACGCGTACCCGTCGTAGTGCGGATATTGAATTCGACGATGCTCGATTATGATGTTGCGGATGCGTCTCTCCGACAATTTGAGTTTGAGTTGGTAGCCACGGTTGATGGTGAGGAAAAGTCCAAGACAGTCATACAAGTCAACTTACAGGACATCAATGACAACTCACCCATCTTCGAGCAGAACACATATTGTTTCGCTGTACCGGAAAATGCCACAATCAATGAGGAGTTCGGCATTTTCAAGGCTACAGACAAAGATTCCAACGAGTTTGGTAAAATCACTTACCTGCTGAAAGGTTTCGGCTCAGACAACTTCTATGTAGATCCCGACACTGGAGGTTTTCATGTTCAGAAGTCTTTGGATTACGAAAAACAAAACAGTTATAGTCTCACAGTTGTGGCTAAAGACGGCGGCGGCCTCGAATCTAATGCAATACTTTACGTTGATGTGTTGGACGTCAATGATAATTATCCTATCTTCGAGAGCGACGAATATACGAGAATTATACGCGAGGGTACAGCGAGTTTTGAGCCACAGTTCTTTATACGTGCTCACGATTATGATGGACCCACACAGGGTGGGGGCCGAGTTAAGTATGCAATTGTTTCAGAGAATAGTATTTCGGGTAATGTCTTCCAAATAGACGAAGACAGTGGTGAAATAACATTACATAAAGTTGCAAAATCAATGGATACCGAGCGTGGTGAATATGAGCTCGTGATCTCAGCTACAGACTTTGGTGAATTTTGTGAAATTTCCTTAACCTCAAAGCCTTTTATTTACTTATTATGTCTCACTTGCAGGCATTCCACCACTTACCAATACCACACGTATCTTAATACGCGTCGGCATAAGTGGGAATCAAAGACCCATATTTAAAGGTCACTTCCAAAACATAGAAAATGTGCCAGTGCTCGGACCGCCCAGCTATCGTGTTTCCATACCCGAAAATGCTCCTGCTGGCTATAATGTTACCACAGTCTCGGCACACGACCCCGATGGACTCGACGAGCAGTTGAGATATCGCATTGTGGGTGCAAACGATAATTTCGAAATCGATGAAATGTAAGCATACCTTATATGCAGAATAATTGTGTATCCAATGTAACGGTTCTTTAAAAAAAAATTTACATTTTTTACATTTTACACTGTTTCAGCACCGGTCTTATCACAGTCTCCACGCACGCACATATCGATCGCGATGCCAACATGGACAGTTTTGAGATTACCGTAAATGCAGTTGATGCTGGCACCCCTATTCCAGAGACAGCAACGACCACAGTATATGTCAACGTCAAAGACATAAACGACGAAAAACCGAAGTTCGAACACGCCAGCTATGCGGGCTATGTATCTGAACGTACCGAGCAGGGCGAGAGTGTGCTCAAAGTACGCGCCATAGACAAAGATCTCTCCTCTAAACTCGAATACAGCATTACCGGTGTGGTCAAGGCCACCACGAAGTCCGGTGTGAGCATAACAAACCGTAGCAGCTATAAGCCGGAGGAGGCTTTCCGCATCGATAGTACCACTGGCGAAATATTTGTGAACAGCGCTCTACGACATGATGTGGCGGCTGTAATCACATTCACGGTTGATGTGCGTGATCTCAACGCCGAGGTGGATCCCGAAGGGCAGATCGATACTACGGAGATAACGATTTATGTACAATCATTTAAAGACACTAATCCGGTGTTCAAAAATAAAGGCTGGACTAGTTCGAAACCCGTGATACATATCGTATTGAAAGAGGAAATGCCCATCGATAGCGCGCTCTTCATACTACAAGCCGAGGATCCGGTAACGCAAACATCGATCACCAATTTCCAACTCATCGAACCTGAAGAGCTTGAGTATTTCCAAATAAACGAGCGCACAGGCGAGATCATACTCAGAAAGCGCTTGGACTATGAAGCGCTGGAGACGGGTAAAACCGAGTTCGATTTTCAAGTTAAGGCCACTTCAGCTGATGGTCAGCGTTCTACAATTACGAAGGTCAATATCACCGTCGAGAATGTTAACGACAACAGCCCCATATTTGAAGAGTCCGCTTATAAGGTGACAATAATTGAGAACAAAAAGCATCCCGAGAAGGTGGCACACGTACAAGCGCACGATAAAGATGCTGCGTTCACTGAACGCGATCAACAGCTCGGTTATCACAAGATCGTCTACACATTGCAAGGGGAATATGCAGACCTCTTCGAGATCAATGGCACCACCGGCGAAATTGTCATAGCCGCGAATCAAACAGTCGATCGCGAGCGCACGCCGCGCATAATTCTACAAGTGAAAGCTGAGGATTCACCCGGAAAACCGACAGACGCTAAACAGAGCACCGTCGAGTTGACCGTGGATGTGTTGGACGTGAACGACAATGCCCCCGAATTTAGTCAGCACAACTATACGGGTGTAATACCGGAAAATGCACCCGTCGATGCATTCGTGCTAAAAGTATACGCCAATGACCCGGACGATGGACCGGGTGGTGAAGTGCGTTATGAATTATTGGACGAGGGCGATGCAAATGATTTATTCAAGATCAATCAATCTAATGGTGAGCTAAAGACAAAACGTGAACTAACGGGTAAGGGACGTTCGCAACCTTATGAGCTGGTGATACGGGCACAAGATAATGGTAATCAAGTGCCAAAGCAGGAGTCACTAGTTACAGATGTGGCGGTCATTGTGTATATAGGCGATGTCAGCGCCAATGATGGTATACCATATATTGTTTCGCCAAAAGTGGGACAAATGGCTAATGTGACGGAGGTAAGTGCAGTGTGATTTTAATTAATGAAGAAAGATTACTTAAATTGTTTGTTTCAGAACTCACCTATCGGAACGCCCGTATTTCAAGTTGTAGCGAGCGATCCTGACAATCCGAAGTCACCCTCGGGGATGCTCTCGTATAAGATTTTGGAGGACACAATCGACTCGGAGACCTTTGCGATAGACGATAAGTCGGGACTTATAACAACTCTGCAAATGCTGGATCGCGAGGAAAAGGATATGTACAATATAATATTAGAGGTGTCGGATGATGGGCAGCCAAGGCAATCTGTAACACGTATACTACAAATTACCGTTCTAGATGTAGATGATCACGTGCCGCATTTTGCGCGCGAAATCGTAAGTCTGCTGACATCCGTTTCTGTTCTTGGTTTACTCACATTTGTCTCTGCATTTTAAAGGACGCCGTACCCACGGCTTTTAGAATACTTGAGGAGGAACCAGAGGGCACTGTTGTCGGTAATCTAACCGCCATCGATGAGGACGTGGGCGACAATGCGTTAATCGATTACGCGATTATCGAAGGCAATAACGAAAATGTGTTCGCCATTGAACGAACCAAAGAAAATATTGCTATCATCAAGACAACGAAACCGATTGATAGAGAAGCCGTGGATTCATACACGCTAACGGTGAAGTGTTTAAAGCTTGGTGAACCAAACTACTCGTTCATTGGTGAAGAATATGAAGGGAGCGACCTCTCGCTCATCCAAATCACGATCAGAGTAATCGACATCGATGACAACCTACCTCAATTTTCGCACAAAGACGCCTCAATTGGCATACGCATAAATGTGCCCATCGACACAGTAATTACAACAGTAAAAGCAACGGATCGTGATGCCGAGGCGCCACCTATCATATACTCAATCGATAATATAACTTTCGTGCCACAATTCTACAAACGCACGCGCAAAATTGACTCGCGCCCACTTAAGAACCTATTCACAATGAACAATCAGACTGGTGAGTTGCGCACAGGCGGCTCTTTCTCCGACTATGTAGACGGCTACTTCCAGATGAAGATTCGCGCCAACAATTCCGAGCGTGTGAAGCGCCACACCTTCAACAATATAAAGATCTTCGTGATACGCGATAAGTCTTTGCTGAAATTTGTTTTTGCGCGGCCACCAACCGAGATACAAGGCATTATAAGACCTTTCCAAGAGAAGTTGCAACAGAAATTGAAACCCCTTGGCTTGGAGCTGCACATACTCGATACGCAAGTGTTGACACGCGCTGACTACACGTTGGACTTCACAGCAACAAGCTCGTGCTTCCAAATGTTTAAGAATGGCGCTGCAATCTCGATGCAAGAAATGCAAAAACTTATGCACTCGGAACAAATGAAACAAGAACTATTCGATGTGTATGTCGAGTACGGCGTGAGTGAGGTGGAGTTGTGTTCGGTGCGTAAACTACAGGTGGCGGCGAGCATGATGACCTCAGCGGGCACTTGGTTGGTCATACTGGCGGCTTTCATTGGTTTAGCGGCCATTGTGGCGGCTTGCACGGCTTGCTGTTTGAAAAAGAAGTGAGTAAAGCTTGTGAGAAATTCGTTTATATATTAAATTGTTTTCTCTTCTTCTTCTTCTTTACAGGTACAAAAAGCATTCGAAACGCAGCTTACAAGCCTCACGCGCACCCACTGAACCGTACACTGTCGGCATGGGCGTGCCAACGCTCTACTACTCGGAGCCCATCTACGGCCCACTGTCATAGCAACCAATCATTTGGTCTAGTGTAGGCAAATATTGATTATTTCACTTTAATATTTTAAATTAAATATGGATTTAGTTGTAAGTTAAAAACTCTTGAACAATACAGTTTCATAGATTTGTAGGTAGTACTCCCTCTCTTCATATGGTTAGTGCCCAAGACTGCGCATATTAATTAATTTACTTCAACTAAGTCGATTTAAAAAAGAATTAATAATATGCCTGTGATTTATTGTTTATAATTCTGACTACGCAATATTTTCTTATTATAAACTTTTTGTTAAGTAAATATTTTTATTGGATATGGAAAATGGTTCATTTTCTAAAGATTTTATGACAATAATTTTGTAAGTGTAAATATTTATGTAATGATTAAGTGCGAATAATTATTTTAGTTCATGCGTAATTATTAAGTTCTTATGTTGCCTAAGTCAAACATGCGACAATAAATTGTGGAAAATAATTTATATTTCTTTCTGTTTAGTATAAAATGTAACGGAAAGTGTGATCTTTTACTTAAAAAAAAAAACCAGGGTGCAATTGATAGCTTGTGTTCGTTGAGAAATGTCAGTAAAAATTAGCCACTAACGAGATTTAGAGAGTAAAATGTTTTACTCTCCCAAAGAAAGAAATTTACTGAGTTTTCACAAAACAGGATTCAGCAAAAATTAACCTGCAAGATGTATAACAGTTATTAGTTTTGGCGGTTAAATTGGAATCCTTTTATATATAATTTTCATTTTAAATCAATTTGAGTTTGTTGACAAAAATACAATCGTATTGTCACAAATCAGCTGTTTTTCATATTTGCTAATATTTACTGGCTGATATTTTCCTAGTAAGAATTCGCAACTTTCTCTTCAAACCAAACGTCAGATTTTCGTTCTCTCGTTACTAACTTTACTGAATTTTCGCCTCAACGAACGTTATTCAGTACAGTTCAGTAAAAATTGTTGCTGCCCATCTGGTCACCAAACAGAACTGATATTTGATGGCCTAGCCAGCCCACATAACGAAGGCCTTAAAATGTGTGATCTTTCCATGATTCCATACCATGATGATTAAAAATTATATAATTTCTAGTCGAAAATTAAGTTTTAAATTGTGGGTATCTATTTCAAGACGTTAGAGTGAGGTGATCGGAGCTGGGCGCGCAGTGCATGATAATTTATCGCGATTCTTCTACTAAAGTCACCTTACAGAAGGTGTTCTTGTGTCAAGTTTGGTAGGTTAACGAATAACTCGGATATTCTAATGAAAAACGTTCTTCTGTTCGTCAGTATATTCAGCTGTGCAACGATTAAGGATTCAATAGACCACCCTCTGGTCACAAAGCTCAGGTATGCTTACCTCTAAACACATTCTGTATAGAAGTTTAGACTTGTGCATTACCAAGTTCCTCCGCCGCATTTACATAACTTTTCGCTGTAATATCTTATCTTGCATTTTAATTCCCAACAAGCATAATGAAATGGAACGTTCTTTTTTTCAGATTGAAGTACGTCGTTTCTCTTAGTGCAACGAATTCGAACTCAAATGTTTTTCAGTTACCAAGCAGAAAGGTAATGCCGTCTGGTTGACAGTTGAAATGAAAGTCGATTCGAGATCCTCGCACCTTATTCAAAATTATCAGATTCTCTTTCTCTGTTACCAGTTTTGAGACCAGCCTTCTGAAATATAGGGTTATCCATTCCGTGTTTTCCAAAAAAGTGGACTGTATTTTTACATCTGTCGAACTTAATTGTCGAACTAAAAATGTCATTTTAGTTGAAGTCAAGCATTTATGAAAACTAATCGCTTAATTACTGCGCAACGCGTCAAAATTGTTCAAACCTACTACAAAAATGGTAATTCAGATGTGGCAACTTTTCGTTTTTAAGAGGAGATTATAATGTAAATAATCGCCCAACTACTCAAGCAATTGGTTAAATTTTAAACGAATTTGTATATACTTGTAAGGCCCATGCTTCATGGTGTTGTTCATTCCACTTCAAATATCGCTACTGTAAGTGAAAGTGTAGCCAAACAGCCGAAAATGTCTATTCCTCGACGTGCTCAAAAGCTGGGACTTACTTATGGCACATTTTGACGTAGTTGTTATTATGGCTTACACAGCCATATAAAGTCAAGCTCACACAACATCTGTAACCAATTATCTATTCAGAACATTGTACATAAATACGTCGATGATTCGGCCGTACTTCGCTGAAACCGACGAAGGTCACACTGTAAATTCTGAGCGTAATGGTTGCAGGATACCGATCTTCTCTATCTGTAAATAAAGAACGCGACTTGGACTACATGTGGTGTCAACAAGTGTGGTATAACATTATTGTGAGAGAAATTTCCAGTCTGCGCAATCTCTCGTCTTGGCAACGAGATCGATTTGACATCATGGACCAATGCGGAATACGCTGTTTATGCGGATAAACTTTTGGAGCGCTGGAAAACCAATATTCGTTATATTACGGCTGAGCCAACCGCCAAAATGTATAGAAAAATGCTCGCAAATTACCTCAAACGGAATGAAGTTTGCAACAATTCGCGAGGCGGTCATTTGAATGATGTAGTGTTCGACGTTTAATGCCAAGATTAATACAGTTTATAATCAAGCAGGAATTTCATGAAACAAATTATTTTAAATGCATTTAATCTACGTTTGTTGTTTCATCTTTTGAATATAAACTTTAACTTATATTTTCTATGCTCGGCAGCGATGTTGGAGCTTCCGGAGAACCTCAATGGTCGGAATTCATATTAAAATTGAGTAATTTAAAACAAGTTAAATATAGGAGAGTTCAACCACGACAGTTAGGCGCCAAACTCACGGAAACGGCTTTTTATTTTATTGCTTTCAGCGGATTTATGATGAGCTGCTGGATTGCAAAATATTTTCGGTTGGTAACTTTCTTACGTTTACAGAGTGCTGTTATTTTTGGCGATGATTTAATAAAAAGTAGTAAACTCAAGAGAAAATAAAACTATGAAACAAACCTACATACGGCTATTCTCAAATTCAAAATTATATACATATTACAAAAAAAAAAAAAAAAAAATTTAGATTGGAAAAATTATTAAAAATTGCAAAAAAATCTTTATATTCTCTTTATTAATTTAATATCTTTTCTGCTACACTCGAATGTCAACCGTCACTTTTTCTGTCAATTCCATTAAATTTCGCACCTTTTACGCCCACAATTTGCAATGAAGACTTCGATGGGAACAGAAATAGCAGTCACTAAAATACCTCATCATAACCTATATTTATCTTATCTAACATTTGCTTAATTTATGCATAACAAGTGCATAATAAATAACGTAAAATATTTACAGATATTAAACGCAAACAATTCTCCAAATATTTGGCACAGAATGTCAAATGACATCCCCACAGCCTTTTTTTCCTGGCTCACACTTCCGTGGCTCAGTAATTGAATTCGAAATGACTAAATGACAGAGAAACTAAATAAATAGAATTTTGCGTGTTTAGTTGAAATTAACACTTGTAAATTGTACATTTACATATGTTTCACTCGAAATTTTCAAGCATATGTACAAATATGCTTTGGCTAAGCAATACGTAGCATTTTATATGTTTTTTTCTCATAATATGAAGTCAAACAATATTTATCACATTTTGATGGATTTGAGTAGAAAACAAATGTTGCAATTGAAAATGGGTTTTTATACGATTTTTTCCTTTTTTTATTTTACGTAAATGTTTTTTTTTTTTGCCTTAAGCAACTATGAGAGCATATATGTACCCATGTTTATTGATATTAATGGAATATTTATCTGAAATTGTTCTGTATAAAACCAAGTTGAATATTCTTCAAGTGATTTTATGAAACCAGAGAGTGTTCTGTTTGAATTATAAAAATAAGTGCAGCGCAGTCTGCACCAGTTGTCGTGGAATGAAACCCCGCTTAACATCGCTTTCAAGACTTGTATAAGGTTTAGCTGTATTAAAAGTTACACCCTTCATCAATGTATTATCAGATGACCTCTAGATCCAGTTGATATACCATAGACCATAATATACCCTGGAAAGGGACCTCGCAGAAAATCATCGACGTACAATATCTTCATCTCGACAGCACGACCGAATTCGACATATCCGCAAAACTTATGGTACCGTGTAAGCTGACTCTGAAATCAAATAGAATTTTCGCCAGATTTTTGAACATTTTTATAGGTCTCACTGGGGAGTCGGCGAATGGCGCAGACAATGATCCGCTGAGCTGAAAAAGGTTCCTCTCAGTCACCATCGAACAAGACATAACAGTTTCTTATTAAAAAATATCAGCCGTTCAGCTGATTTGATCCTAAAGACAGAAGTATACTAGACATACACTGCCGAGGCACGGTATTTTTCCGAACTACTGCAATGAGGAGGTGCTTATTTTTTAAGTCATTCGTTGGAAAAGCATAAACTAATTACAACTAAACTTCATTGAGAAATATGTAATAGACAAATGAATATTTGCATAACAAATTAATGCGTAAACAACATAATACTTTTAATAATACCGTTACATAGTAAACGCTAGAATTGCGCCATATATCAAAGAATTTCAAAGCTAGTCTCAATATACCGCCAAATTCCTAGTTTAGCAGACGTCTAAGCCTGAGACGCCAGCACTGTAGGGTCGCCGAACTATATTATAGTATTACAGTATTTCATTGTCGGCGCTTTACATACTAATATACGTGTATGTACATAGAATGTATGTATACACCGAACGCTGACACGGACTCACACGGCGGGCACTTGAAAGTGATTTATGATGTTGCGACAAAATCATCAATCAAATGACAAAATGGATAAGTCAAAAGTAAACATACACACACGCTGTTTATGTGTGTGTGCTATGCTCAGGATTGATTTTGGCATTTTGATGGCTGGGATTACCTCGAGTGGTTGAGGAGATAGAAGTTGTAGGGAAAATGTGACGAGCACCACAGAGTAGCACTTTGATTGGCAAACAAACCATTAAAGCATCGACATTACTCAAAAACAAAAATTAGTAATTTACATACACATATAATTACATAACAAGTAATAACAAGTAATAATTAAATATTTTTAAATTTTTTTTACTTTTTTTTTAATTTACCACCCGCAAATTGTGGCGTACACATTAATAAAGCCTCGAGCCTTGACAACGAGTTGGTGGTGGTCTGGCTGTCTCCAGCGTGGGTATAGTGCAGATTTAGATACTCTCGCTGGGATACTTTTTAATA